CCGTATCCTTTCCAGTTCTTTGATTTATAAGGAGTCTTGGTTAGTTTTATTTGTTATACGGAATAAAATTAAACATAAAATTAATTATATTTTAACAAATTTTTTTTTCTATTGAAACACCAAACAGTAAGGAATATAACGGTACGTAAGCAAATGTACGTATTCTTATTAATAAAAAAGTTATAAAGTTATACGTTATAAAGTATACAATAGAGTTTCGAAAAAAACCACATTTTATTTAAAAATTCTTATTTTTCATACATAAGTTATAAGAATATTTTAAATATGCATTTTGGAAAGTTGATACTTCGAACTTTCAGAGAAAATACTGATTATTGAATTTTTTAAAAAACAATTATTTAAAAGGAACGAAGATGAAGAAAATTCGAAATCCATTTTGGATAAAAGATATATATTTTCTGTTGTCGAATAACACAGATCTGCAAATAATGGGGTTTTGTTTGTTGTTGGGCAGCTGAGAGTCGTTTCCGAACCAGTTTTTTGCGTAGAATCCGAATCCGAGCTGAGAATTGTCCCATCACGTCAGGGTTTTGAGATATTTGAGGTAATGTAATCGAAAAATGGCTATTTTGGGGATGTTTGAGGTTAGAAAAAGTGTGTAACAAAATTTTTGTAATTTTTTCTACCTATCTAATCTTTTAGTACTAGTTTTCCTCTACAAAAACAGCCCCTGAGCGTTGCCCTACGTTGTTCCTTTCAAAAGTTATGTCTATTTTAAGATCACATATTCGCGGTATTTGACTGGTTGCTTGTTAATGAGGTTATCAAAAATGAACGGATTCACACCAACGTTGGTATTCAGGGGTTTTCGAGGTTGCTGATAAGCAACGGAAGCTTCAAGAATATTATTAAATACCTCTACGGGGAGAGTATCCTTACTAAAGTAAACACTTTCAGCAAACTCAGGTCTTCCTTATCCAAAAAACTATCAAATTTGGCATTTCTAAAACGCTGCAGGGATAATAACATCATCCCAAAATTCCTACAACTCAAGGACCACCTAGGAACTCAAAAATCTAAAAACATCCTTTATAAAAAACTAGCCTCATCCTCACCAAAGAACTCATCCACTTCACTAAGTCACAAATAGCCCAGATCTCCATAAAACCTTTAAACTCCACCTGTTCCTATCCGCCACGTTGCGACATGATATCTGGCAAACCCTAGATCGTATTACATATGAACAAGCCATAAAGACACACACACAATCCTCTAAAAGACAGAAATAGAAATACATAAACCTTGTCCCTCACAAAAATTCACAACCCTCTCTACTTAAAGTCAAGAACAAATCCAAAGACTTGTCTCAAGACATACTATATGCGCTTGCCAAAGGCCCTAACTTCGCAGTGGCACCTAGAAAGATTCTAAAGGAAGAGATTATCAGCCAAATAGAGTCAACCATCTACTGACTCCCATCAGAACAAACAGATAATATCCGCAGACAGGTAATCAATATCCTTTCCAAAGCCAAACCCCCCTCCACCTAACATCACTAGACAAGAGCGATTGGCTCTCCAAGACCTTAACAGGAACATAGACATCATCGTGCTTCCAGCCGACAAAGGCAACACGACAGTAGTCATGAACACAGACTATAAGAAAAAGATGAAGAACCTTCTTTCGGATAAAGCATACAAAAAGCTTGACAAAGATCCAACTAATACAATCGCACAAAACACCAAGATCCTAGTGGAGAGAAGCAACATTCCCAGTAAAACCAAATCAACATTAAAACCCACAAATCCTCTTCCACCAAGACTATACGAACTACCAAAAGTACACAAACATCCCCCTCAGACCGATTGTCAGCGCCATACACTCCCCGACATATAACTTATCCCGCTTCCTGGCACAAACACTACAACCTCTTACTGGAAAATCCGAATCACACATAATCAACTCAACGGACTTTATAAAAAAGATTCAAAAAATCCGACTACGTCTCACAGACTTGCTTGTAAGTTTCGACGTAGAATCTCTTTTCACACAAGTTCCAATAAAAGACACATTAAACATAATAAAGGCTTCACATAAAGTCCCCTCCGACTTCATCCCACTAATAGAGCACTGCTTAACAACCATTTACTTCTCCTATTACAACCAATTTTATGAACAAACTTCAGGAGCAGCAATGGGCTCTCCTATTTCTCCTGTAATTGCCAACATCTTCATGGAGTATTTTGAAAAAGAGGCCCTCAGGAAAACATCTAAGAAACCAGAAGTTTTGTTCCGTTATGTAGACAACACATTCGTGATACGGCAGAACCGAATTCCGTAAATTCCTTATTTTCCTCAACAATCAACACCCAAATATCCACTTCACTATACACAGTATGATTATGCCTTTTCAAAAAAGGTATTTATTTTAATGGTAGAAGATGGTCGTTTTTTAAATGTAAAACAGATGTGAAATTTGGGTAAAGGACTACTTATTATTGGTTTTTAGTTATTATTAATGTAAAAATTATTATTATTATTATTACTGAAGGCAAATTTAAGTGAAAAACGTAAAATACAAAAAATACATATAAAACGTTACTTTTCGTAATCTCAGTACACAAATAGAGTCTGTTCTTTAAATCTGAATCAGCAGATAATCACTAGCTGCGGAAAGCAGCTTTGCAACTGTTGTAAAATTCTTCAATATGATTGGTTTTGCTCTTAATTCCTCATTGGATCTAAATGTATAAACTAATCATATTTAAGAATTTTACAACTGTTGTAAAGCTGCTTTCTCTGCTGAATATAGTTATTGATTGAGGCCAAATATACCACTGTTAATTAAGAAGGTTTCCTAAATTATTGTAGATGGTAAAAAAAATTTGATTTTTTTCATAAATTGATAGTAAAACTCTTCGAGAATATGTCCCTAAAATTTTAGAGCGAAATTCTTTGGTATAAATTTAGCGCTTGTATATACGGGTGCATGCCGCGCAGGTATAATACAATTAAAAAGATTTTTTTTTATAGTTCTAAAGTATTCATAAAGCCATTCAATTTTCATTCTGGAAATTTTTTTCTATCTCATAGTTTCGATGATATTCGTTTTGAAAGAAAAAAACAATTTTTTAGAGGGGGTATTTTATCTTCTAAACCTCGAGATAAGCACAAACAAAAAAATATATGGGTTTAATACTTTTTTTTATTTATTATTTAAGACGGTTTTAAAATAAGAACAGACTATGAATACCGCCCCATGTTTCGCGTTTCACAGTGACAGCCCTTGCTTACTATTGACGATGTGGAACAAAAGTAGGCATGGTTTGGTCGAACTGCACACATGTAATTCTTCCACTACGAGGTCTGGCTATTAAATAACGAGACTGCGCGCGCAGAAGGCGTTCTAGAGGGGTAGGGTGGGAAACGAATGCAGCGTTGGATAGCTGGAAGTGTCTACTATTCCAGTACGAAAACACGTTTTTGTCGCAGTATTTTTATTTTTTCTATAGAGGTTAGAAACGAACTTGTTTTTTTCTCGTGCCGATAACAATGTGTGACGAAAAACACGAGCAACGGATCAATGTGAAATTTCTCGTTAAATTAAAAAAAACTCCGACTGAGTACTATAAGTTGTTGAAAGAGGCCTATGGTGAGAATTCTCTATCTCGTGCGCGTGTTTTCGAATGGTATAAACGGTTTTCTGAAGGCCGAGAGAGCACCGAAGATGACCAACGTCCAGGTCGACCTGTCTCTGTTTCAACTCCGCAAACAGTGACCAAAATCAATGAAATTGTGCGCGAAGATCGTCGTATGAGCATTTGGATGATTGCTGAGACTGTAAACGCCGATAAAGAAACTGTCAGAAAAATTTTACATGACGAATTAAACATGAAGAAAGTCTGTGCGAAGTTGGTCCCAAAAAATTTGACCCCTGACCAAAAGCTCGTCCGTCAACAGATCTGCTCAGATTTTCTTGAGAGGTTAGATGAAGAGCCTGAATTGATGGAAAACATCATCATATGCGATGAAACCTGGATATTCCAATACGATGTTGAAACTAAGCGGCAATCCATGCACTGGAAAACTCCTGCATCGTCAAGAATGAAAAAAGCAAGGATGTCGAAATCAAAATTTAAAGCCATGCTAATCGTTTTTTTCGACATCAACGGCATCGTGATGACTGAATGGGTCCAGAGGGTCAAACTGTAAACCAAACTTACTATTTGACAGTTTTGGCAACACTGCGAGAGCAAGTTCGTAAGAAACGGCCGGAGTTGTGGAAAAACAAGTCGTGGATCTTACACCAGGACAACGCACCTGCCCATAACGCGCTGTCTGTGAAGCGTTATTTAGCCGCTAGAGGCACTCCAGTGCTCGAACACGCGCCGTACTCGCCTGATTTAGCACCCTGTGACTTTTTCCTGTTTCCGAAGATCAAGTCTGCCTTAAAAGGAACCCGGTTCGAGTCGATGGAAAAGGTGAAGCGAAAATCGGCGGAGCTCCTAAATGCTCTTACAAAAGACGACTTCTAGCCTTGCTTTGACCAATGGAAAAAACGAATGGAACGGTGTGTGGCGAGGGGAGGGGAGTACATTGAAGGGGAGCATTCAATTGTAGAATAATTTTTAAAATAAAACTCTTTTTCATAAGCAGTCTCGTTATTTAATAGCCAGACCTCGTATACTTCCATCCCATCTCCCCTCCTCTGCTTAGGAGCGCGCGACTTCCACGCGAAGCGATTCTCATTCCATCTCCTCTCCTGCTTAGGAACGCGTGATTTCTACGCGAAGCGATTTCCATCCCATCTCTTCCCTGCTGAGGAGCGCGCGACTTCCACGCAAAGCAACTTCTACTCCACCTCCTCGCCTGCTTAGGGGCGCGATACTTCCACGCGAAACGATTTCCACCCTACTCTCCCCTCCCCCCGCTTAAGAGCGCGCGACTTCCATGAGAAGTCTACCTCTCCCCCGCCCCTGCTTCAGGGACGTACGACTTTCATTTCTCTTGTCAGGAGGGAGTCATTTAGTAAGGCGAAGATCTAAATATCTTAAAAACTATAAGAGACCGCTTGATTAATTTATAAGGAAAAGTTAATCAGTACCTTTACCGTTATAACATATGTCAAAAATCATCGAAGAGGTGTCCTCTAATGTAAAGGTTTTATATAATACCATTGTATTCAAGAACTAAATCGAAAACTTTGTGTTTTTTTCGAAATCTAATTTTTTTTAAATTTTGTTTAATTTTGTTTAATTTTATGTACATGATTGAGAAAAAAGTATTTGTCCGATTGAGTTCTTCTAGAGTTTGTTAAGCTAATAGTCAACTATTCTTAATGGACCTAAAAAATTAAATAAAAGTCAACATTAACAATTTTTTTTGCATAAACAAACGACTAATACCTAGTGAAAATCGTAACTTTTTTTCAAAGTCGAACAAAATTTTAATTTATACATATATATATATATATTTTAATGTTTTTAGGTTCATTTAGGATAATATTTTATAAAAATTAAAAATATTTTTTTATTTTTTGTTTCCGGCGAGAATTATAGCCGCTAGAATGTACACAAAATCGTAACATCGTGGCAAAGCACCAAACTAAATGTTTATATTTTTATTATTTATAATACTTTTTTTACATAAGAATTTGTACGTACTCTACAATAGTTATATTAAATTATGGAAAAAGTTTGAAATTGACAAATATTAGTCTTCTTTTTGAAAAAAAAAAAAAAAAACGAAGAATCACCTGGTTTTTGGTCTTCCAATGTAGGATAGTGAATAGGACCGAACTTATGGACGAGACGTCAAAAAGCGTGGTCGAAAATGATTATCTGAACTAGTTCGATTTAAATGTCGCTTCCATTCCATGACATTGTTCTCGCAGTTTGCATGATAGGATCAGTTTTATATGAAGAATGCTTTATTTTTCATGCAGTTTTAATGACAATTTACGTCTTCTTGTTACTATCAAAATATGATGTCAAAGAATATCTATTTTTTGATTATTGTATGTGATTATTGTATGTGTATATGAGAGGAGTTTTGTCATTCGAACGCCGTCTATCTAATACCATCAATACCAATTCAGAAATCTGATTTTGACTACACTTTTCAAAGCCTAATTCGGTTTCCTGTTCTCTATCCTCCATCTATAGGACTTAGGAGACTTAATGAATGAAATGTGGTATCACTAACCTATAGCAAACTTTGCTTCGGTGTATAAATGTAGCGCATTCAACGTATATCAGGCCTGTCCATCCACATATAGAATGTACTATCGATAGCAATGGTGAAAGACGAGTAGAGTGAGAGGCAGATAAACGGATGAACTTCTTTCTCTGTTTACTAAAGCCTGATTGATTGTTAGATACTGCTAGATCAACAGCAACCAATCAGGATTTAATAAATAGAGAAAGAACGTTCATCCATTTATCTGCCTCTCACTCTATTCGTCTTTCTATCTTTACCACTGCCATCGGCGGTCTATTCTATATGTCGATGGACTTGTTAGATAATGGCTCGCGAGCCAGCCAGTCGCGCCGCTGAGCGCTTCTCCCTCCAACTCGATCCGCCGGCCAATTTCAGGGACGACTGTCAGTCGTCGCGCGATGTAAGCCCTACTCTCCATAATAATTGGAAACTTCGATTTTTTCTTCTTTGCTACACTACGTCGTATTACTGAAAACTTCCGAGTTTTTCTTTGCTACACGACGTAGTAGAACAGAAGTCACGTACCCAACTCAGCAGGAATCTGAAATGGCCAGTCTCTAGTAAAGAATCTCTATGGCTCACGACCCTGCCGTGCCAGTATAAGTACATATAGTATGGACACTGAGCGTCGGCACCTTTGATGTAGTGGGTCTCCAATAGCGGCACCAATAAGGAATGCTGCTCAGCCGGACGCGAACGGACATAAAGGAGAATGTTAACCCTCAGTACCCACGTTTCAAAAAGGTCCTTATCCGGGTATTTGTAATCCAGCATTTTCTTTTGCTTGTATCTCGGATTGTAGTGCATTGATTTTAACTAATTTTTTTTAATCTAACGTTTGAAGACTAAAAAAAATTTTTTTGAGTTAGAAAATCTAAAATGTCATAAAATATTTGCAATAAATGAAAAGGGAAAAACCGGAAAAAAACGTCTGAACCATGAAAATCAGGGAGACTTATTACGCTAACTCTTTGTGGGTACTGTGGGTTAAAAAACCCTAATTTTTGTCTAAAAAAGATATAAGCAAACGGAGTAGTGTTGATTTATAGATTTTGATTTCTTGAATGTTAATAAAATATTCGAGGTGAATAGGGAACACCTTGAAAATTAAGCGCGAACCAG